AACTAGCGTTATAACTAGTTGCGATTTTCTGCGACGCGATTTCATTTACCAATGATCATTTAATACATATGCACCAAACGTCATTACGGATTTAAATGAGTTGTGAATTGTATGCATTTTCATGTAGATAAAGTAATAATTAGATAACCTATCAACACTCAATAGATGACGCTGAAAGGTTCAACGTGTTTGTACTATTATCGACGTTGTACATTATATATGCATGTTTTTTTTTTCAATTTCATTCCAAATATAGTTATTATATTTTTGTAATGCGCGTCGATGGTTTAACAAAATTGCTATAACAATTACATTTGGCGATAAATCATACAATATTTTTTTTGAAAAGATTTGTCACCCACATATCAAATAACTCTTTACTGTCAGCGTGTTAGTCTAATATATATTTATTTTAATGCTTTACGAACAAAAACGTTCTGAATTTGTTCTCAACTGGCATTAATGAATAATTATAGTTCACGTATGTTCAATTGTCGTGTGGATGGACGGATGGGCATGGTTGAATCCTTTCAAAAGCAATAATGCACTTATAAAGTAGCTTCTCAATATACTATTGCATTTCTTTGTTCATTGGAATGTGTTCAGCGGAATAAATGAATTTAGTGTATTGCCGACCATTTTACAGTTATCTTTTTTTAATTAACTGGTCGTTAAATATCAGGGAGAGCGGCACTCGGGAAGGGCAACTATTTTCGACGCAAGGTCACATATTTTCAGTGGGGGGGGGGCTCATGTATTTTTTGTCCATCCACTATAATTACCGGCATGAAAAAAATATAATGGTTTTACACATTTGAATAGAACAAAATATCATAGAATACCTCATATTTTTATAGCTATTTTGGTATCAATATCACTAGTTTCATAGTCTACATGCGTAGCAGAATTAGTTCACTTATTTTAAAACACCTGATTAATACCCCGATGCTTTGTAATATCTTTTCTTTGAACATTGTGGTTGCATTGTGTTCATGAACTTATATTTTAAATATTCAATTTTCATTTCTATTCCATCTTGACTATTTCTTCATAAGTTTGGAAATAGCTGGAAACAGAAATGATTGGCTCGCAGACAATAGGCTGTTAAAATCACATAGTTATGATTATGTATGTGGTAGCTTGGTATTACATTATCCTTTCCCACTCTATAGGGTGGTACTATGTTAACCACGGACTGCCGTGTTTGTTGAGAGTTACGTCAGTTCCCGATCGAAATTTGTTTGTTCGATAAAGAAATATTGCACCTGGTTAGAGTTGTTGTATCATATTTTTGAAGAAAATTCAGACCCGAACGCAGAAATTACCGCACTAACAGTCACAGCGATTACTTTGTGGCCGACGTTTTAACACAAAACTAGCCTCACAACATTATTTTTACGTTTCCTAGGCTATAACTTGAGGCTATTTTGAAACAAGTGATTCTATTAGCTCCACCTGCAACCTTTATTGTCATGCAATGTCGGTAACACATTATTTCAGATATTATTGTAATTTGCAGCGCGAGTGAATTCTCACGGATGTCAAAATGGGTCAAAAAGTGGCCTATCACAGTTGACATAGAGAATTGTTCTGCCATACTGAATACTTTCTATGTCTAGTACAATGAATATACAAATTATATTTCAATGTTATTGTGCATATCCTACCTGCATAGTGTCAGACAGTTCTCTTCGGTCATAAGGCTGTGAATACATTTTGTTGGAAATTTTTCACAGCTTGCTGTAATGATTGTCTTATATATTAATTAAATTAATACTGTAAAAACAACCAGTGCGTTGACATGTATAAATTATATACGTGTATCAGGATTCAGGATTAATATACCAATATAAGGTATCAACTTTGTGACGTAGACATATATTGGCGTGTCATCAACAAAGGCAAGCGTTTCATTCAGTAATTCAAAAGTCTGCCCAAAACATGACCAGTCACCGCGCAATTGAATCTATATCTCACTTAATAGTTACTAAAAAACGTGCGCTCATCTCCTTGTTACAGTAGTAGAGGTACGACCCACTGGTGCAACCACCACATACAACGACGAAACATGACTGTCAACCCGATGGTGGTTGTGGACGAGGGCGCTATGTACGTTGCCGTGATAAACAGGAGATATAAAGGGAATTATAGTTTTTTGTTCTATAATTGACTGACTGAGCTACCTGTTTCATTTTTTTCCCTGCATTTTCATCTTATTGCATCTTATTGCATCTTGTGTATCGCCGCAATTTTAGCCAGTTCTGTCAGCACTGTGTCACATATATCAACAGTGTATCACATTCAACACACAACAGGATACAGCCACTGACACGCTTTTTTAACCAAGGGTCATTTTGTTATGCCAATATCATACTCTCAGTTGTATTTGAGGTACTATACCTACTAAATCCAGGGACACGCAGTGGGTGATGAATTCTATTGCGGGCTTTGTCCTGTGTACGAATCTCCACACTGTAACCACACACACTGTTTCTCCATTAAAGCTTACCTCCCTCATAGTCAGATGTATAAAAAACATCTTCAGATTTCCTCACCCCTTGCCTCATGGGACGGATCCCCTTGTGGACACTTATCGGTACAAGAGGTTTGGAAATGTCCTTCTCAATCTACTTCTTTGCTATCCCAACACAACCGCCTTCATCAACTCTAAGACCAAATTTAGATTTCGGAGATGTGGGACCCCTATCAACTCACTGTGTAACATCTATAACATCTAAAGCAGACGACGTGTTCATGTTCGCTTTACGGGAGTATCCTTTAATTTAAGCCGCACTTCTGTGACTTGACATGCATAGGGAAATTTCAGGTACAAAAACTTCTACAATAACACTGGGACGTCCATTGATTTGAGTTATTCTAATATGCTTGTTAATTTTTTGAATTATTATTGTATTTATTATTAAATTATTATTTTTTTCCGGGCAGTTTATTTTTATTTGTGGAATGTATGTTTTTTCCTCCTGTCAGCTGACCATTACCAACTCTGTTGTGGCGACGGGAACTATACCACGCGTAAACTATTTTGTACCAAATAAGCAATGGTTTCATTTTGTTCATTTGTGGCCTTGTGTAAAAGATGGACTAGATTTTTGTCTCTATTTGTGTATGTATATCATTGCATTGACTTATATTGGTGCTCGTCAGTCTAAATTGGTCCAACACCAATTATGTAATTTTGAATTGGTTAAAGACCCGAAAGGGCCACCTTTAGATTCGAGAAATAGACTTTTTATTTTATAACGAAAATGAAACAATGATACTTAAAGGGGCGTATTCATTACCAACCAATCAGATTTACTTTTTATGGGATTCTCTATACTTTGCACCATTCACAACTCTTATATCAATAGGTTGGTATATTGTATCAACACAACTTCCGCCAACTTGACGTTATTCTTGTCGCATTTCTTCTTTCATGTGTAAGATTTGTTTTTTTCTCGCATACTGGTTGTATTATAAATATAGTTGTTTCTGATATACTAATACCATAGTAATGATGGCTCACTAGTGTTAAGTTTGTTAGTGATTGGATGGTCATATTGCAAGTTCATATAGATGACACTCTTTCAGCCACAACATCAAACAATGCAGTTGAATATATTATTCGACAATACCATACATTAATCCCTATGGTATACCATTAAAATAAATAAATAAAAATACAATCATGCCAAAGCTACATTTTATTGAGTCATTGAATATAATAAAATCTGATAGGTTAAGTTTAAATCGAAATATCTTATATTTTCACATATAAGTAAAATATTAACATTTATTCCTAAATTTCTACCGTGAACAAGTTGTTGTCTCGTCTTGCCAGATATTGCTAGTCACATCTATAACATCAACACACAAAAAAGATTAACTTTAATAAGTTTGTAGAACTTTGGAACACAGGTTACCATTATAACATGATTAATTTATGTTCATGGAGCATCATATTGAAAAAAAAAATAAACAAACAACTTACTTTTTTTCTCTCACTTTCCAGCTTTCAGTAAACCCAACATCGTTTTTTGCAATACTGCCATCAAGTTTTTGAAAGTCATTGAGAGCATTACCGTCAGCATTGCCCATCAAACCGCACAGCTTGCCACGATAAAATGAGCCATAGAAAGATACACTTAATGCATGTTTTCTTAGAGTCCAATCAAGAGTGAATGTCGTCTTCCTTGAAGTGAAGTTCATTGTAATCTTCTTATCTTCTACATGGATGGTTATAGCGTGTGCTGCAGTCACTTGCCCGCCAGTACGTCCCTGTTGGTATATGTTTAGCATGTTGGTGAGGTCACGGATTATATAAAGAAATTAGATTCAACTAAATTTGGTTTGCACCACCATCATAATACAACATATTGTATCTTACTGTAGTTATGTCCAGTCCATCAACATTTGCGTACTGATCGCCAAAAGTTAGGTTGAAAGCGACAATTCTTGTGCTGACTTTATCAGATGTGCTATGTTTTCTAGGTTCAAACTTTGCAGTGACTTCGAAACGAGAGTCGTCGGTGCAGTCTTTGAATAGATTGTACCAGCATGTGCCTTGGAATATATATGGGCGTCCGTCGAATGTTCTCATTTGCATAATACCATGCGCACCGTGCCCTGATAAAACAATAATGTATCTAAAGATTCTGTACATAACAATGTAAAAACAATCAAAGAAAAAAACAATATTGCTATCTTGAGAATGCTCATGTGAACTAAGTTGTAATTATACATATTTGTATTAAACTTATGATACCATTACTCAGAATAAAAGTATAAAACAAAAAATATAAATTCACCACACATTCACTGCAATATTTAGTCAAAGTGATCGGAGGTTACTTAAGGGCAAACAATATTGCTCCAAATAATTTTGGTCAAAAGAATGACCCGGATTAATATTTCATATTTGTATTGCCATGAATACAAAACTAAAATAGTTATAGTATTGAGAAGAGATAAAGCACCATACTCACAGTATTCGCAAACAGCATGGCCTAGTACCCAATTACAAGGAATTACATTCCATAACCCATTGGATTCTCTATCAAATATAATTGAACAGTTTAGCATATACATGTAAAAAGCAATGCTGGACTATTTCTAAAGTGAGGGCAGATTTCTTAAAAAAATGCAAGGACAGGGAAACTTTTTTTAGTGGGTAGGGTACTCACATAAAAAAATCAATCAGAGTTAGCAAAACAGCCTTTAGGGCAGGGGTATAATAAAACACGCATAGGGGGAAATAACATCTGCTTAATGTAGACAGCCGTCGTGTGCTATCAATAAATAATGCGAGTAACCAACTGATCTGCTGTGTGGTTAATGTATTCAAGAAGCCCATAGAAGCCAATGACTAGATGAATTACGCCACCAATCAGCACTGTGAATATTCACCCGGGGTATTCACAAACATTGTACTGCAACCAGTGTAAGTGAGGAATAGAGTTCATAACAGTTGTCATTACTATGAATGTACAAAGTTGATGTTACACCTCGGAAATTTTGGCAAATTTTCTCATTATTTCAAAAGAAACTGATTCAGGAAAGTTGGCGGTAGGGGAGTAGCCAAAAAAGGTTTTTTTAATGAGTCAGGGGAAAGATGAATTTGGTCAGCAGAAGAGAAGGAGATTTTTTCAGGTGGAGGGTAGTTTATGAACAGCTTTTAATTTCCCCCATTTTCCTTTATATTAATTAGCATACTTCAAAAGGCCCAGGGAATTGACTGTTTCAATTTATTGCTCGTTGGCTGCACCTGATGATAGTGAATTCTAATTAAGGCAATGTGCTGTTGAATACACATTGAAATACAATAAGTTTCATTGCGTGTTTTTTTTCCGCACTTAGTTTGATTTCGCATTACATATAATTTCATATTTAACATGTGAATTCCTTTACCGCATCTCTGTGCAGTCCTCAATCATATTATAACCATTTGGCTCGTTGGCATCCCAGTTACTGTATTCAGGGATTCTATTGCATGTGCGGTAAGTAAATGTTCCATCGTGGTGTATGTCGGTAATACCAAGCCAATAATTACCTAATGAAGAACGAAACATAGAAAGTAAAACAAAATCACAAATACCAAAATCAATAAAAATGTAATATTTTTTGATTATCGACCAGACTCTATATATTTAAAATAAAATAAGTACCTGACACATTTAATGCTTGTATTGCATCGTTTTCAGACTCGGTGTGGGGTTCAGCAAGCACGAGATCTCTATTTTCACATTCTTTTTTTGCCTCATACCAGGACATCGGGCCATTTACAACTACATATGCGGTTGGTGATGGATCTGAACAACCAACATGAATAGTATGGTAATAGTAACAATAATGCAATAATCCGGTTTTTGTACAATATGGACTATAATTTGCCCATTGAAAGTACAGTTACTACTTGTAACCGCGGATATTTGACGTTCAACGGTACTTGGTTCTACCGAAGTTTGAGACGCGATGGTGTATCATGTACGGCGACCAACACGGCGACCTCAGTCCCAACATCTGACCTGGTTACATTTTTGGTATAACCAAAGTTCTGTGACAGTATGCCTGACAAGTTTTGTCGTTGTTCTTTGGGTAATTTGGGTAATGATGCTGTAAGATCGGATTTTTTGTGACATGTACATGATATGCCTTGTCTCAACTTCGGCCGAAAGAAAGACTTTGCACACCGTCGCTCTAATAATGTAACAATGGTGTACACTCGACACAAATCTGCAGCTTTCAAAATTACCTTCATCATCTCCTGTAATTTATTTACCCATAATGGGGAATTACAAAACCATAGATCGTCGTCGAATTCTGCGTTGTCCCGTGTTCTTTGAAATAGGTGGCAATTACCCGGGTGCAATTTCACTGCAATTTTGTCAGCTAGAATTCGAACGCCGCTACGGGACATTGGTTGTTATTGGTGGCATACATTTTTGCCTGTGACTCGTAGTGTTTTGCTTTTTTTGTCCTCTCATCTCATCTAGTTGGTAACCATTTAAACTTAAAGATCATGTTTTCTTTGTTGGAAATTCGCAATCGAATTAAATATCTTTAATTATGAATAAAATATAATAGAACCGTCAATTGCAATTTATTGTTTATAAAAACAATGTCATTTTACACTCACAGCTATTTAAACATTTAAGTATAGATTACTTCTTGGCCTAGTTGTCCTTTTGAGAATATCTCCGTATGACGAAATTTGTAATTAGTGCTATAATAATTTTCCTTACTAGCTTGAGACAGCACTGTTAGGGATTGGGACATCTAAATGAACATATGATGTTCGCCCAGTAGTAGATTTTCTTGTATTACACCCAACAACACCCAAGACAAACTAAAAATAAGAACCAATAATAAACAGTGCGTGCAAAATTGAGCGTGCTAAAAACTACACCCACAATAATAAAAATTAAAGACGCAAGCGGCCTCATCGGGGCCCAGACTTTCAAGCATGTATATTGCATAAATAATGAAGTCACTGGATTGCCAATAGGGTGGTTTGAATGATCTGTTAGATGATGACAAAATAACATGCAGATGGTTCAATGTATTTACCTGTTTTGGTTATCAAAATATGCTTTTCAGAATAATAATGAGCCACGTGGTAATGTCTATTAATGAGGTTACATAATCATAAATAGTATTCTCTTATGTTTGATGCCTTCATTATGACACTGATTGCATGTCTCGTTCCGCAACAGTGTTTCAGTTATGACAGTTATGCATATTAATGAGTTCACATGACCTTATATGGTCATCAGTTATTTTAGTCAAATGTTTTGTTTGACGTCATCATAATTCAGAAGGTTGCAACTTCCTCACTGCAACAGCGCTTAAGATATATCAGTTATGCATGTTAATGAGGTTAGAAGCCCCCACCCCATTGGTGCATAGCCACACGAACTAGCCATGTGACATTCATGGAAAAGAATGTATTTAAAGAGTAGAATACACGTACAAAATGTTATTCCAATCGGACCAATACAACACATGTAATTTAATAATTTATGTTTGCACATTATCCAAGATGTCGGCAAAATCATGTGACTGATCAAAATTATATTATTTTTATCATTTGGAGCTATGCCCAGACATATTATTGATGAAAACATCTAGTAGGTCGGTTAAAGCAGAGTTAGGAAACAAATGCCCAAACATTTGGTAATTTTTACATAAAATCAAAGATGGCGGCCAAACCACGTGACTCGTCGAAAATATTTTCTAATATGTAGTAATGTTCAGGCATGTTATATTCAAAATTAGCAGTTAATTGGTTGATTCATCTCTGAGAAACAAATGCCTAAACTTTTTGGTCAATTTTGCCTAAAATCCAAGATGGCGGCCAAACCATGTCATTGATCTAAAATCTTTTTTAGGTTTCTGAATTAGGTTGATATAGAGATGCCATGCAGCAATATTGAAGATAATCCCTCATGTGTGGCATGAGTAAAAAATTACTTCCTATTTAGAAGAAATCCTAAATAGTGGCCAAACTATGTGATCAATCATAATAAAATTTTCAAACATATATAGAAGCTAAGTACTAAATATGAGAACATGTTACTCGGCGGTTCTGAAGAAGAAGATTGTTAAGTGTTTTTTGCCGTTTTTAGGAAAAACTAAATGGTGGGAAAGTCACCTGACCGCTGAGGTTTTTATTGCTGATATCTATAACACATGAGCTGTACTATATACCATAAACAAATCTAGATGCCTATCCGCTCAGAAAGTGGTCAAGCAGCCAATATCTCTGTTTCTCGTTTCCGCGCGCATCATTTTGAACTGTGCGCCTCGAACGTTTTTTTTCCTTCTAAAGCATTTCAAAATGCGCTTGTACCCGCACTTGTCTCAAATTTCTCCCATTTTAGCTCAGTATTAAAAAAAATCGTCGCATTTTAAAATTTCCATGAAACGCGAAACAGAGAATTTTTTTTACCTGGCCTTAACAGTTTTATTGCTAGAATAATATAGAGATCCGGTAGTTTAATAGTTTGGACAACATGTCTGCTGAATTACCTATATGCTAACAAGGCAGACACAATATAACTCATGAAGTATATACCATGCTATATTCGAAAACAAATGATCTTACATGCACAAGTTCCAATTTAGCTTGTCATTTTCAAAAACCGCCTGGTTTTTTTAAATTTAAGTGCTCTCAGACTATACAAACTTCGTTGGAACACACATTTGAATTATTTTCAACAAATCATGAAGACTGATTCACTAACTCATATGGCAACTCTTGTCAACCAAAATATTCATACTTACCATTCCTCTTTCCCAAAAACTGAAAAAAAATCGAATATAAATATTTTTCAATACCACATAGATGATAGTTATTACGTAGCCATTTTAACTCCACACGCGCTCAAGTCAACTTCACTCACCATTCAGAAAACAGTGTTATTCACTTAATACTATTTATATAACACTAACAGTGTAATATCATGAATGTATTAACAGGAGGAGTTACAACTGGTTTAAGTTCTAGGGTTTCATGATTATTATAATGTTGGTTAATGCTTGTTAATTTAGAAAACAAAAAATTATCTACAGATAAGGTGCATTACCATACTGTAGGACGGGAATTTTTCGCGCGAAAGCAAATTTCGACCAATTAGCTCATTTTATTATTCGCGTTCTTCAATCTACAGACACATTATTTCAACTTTGACCTTTCATTTATGCGTAATTATCAATAAATTTAAAAAAGAATCTTAACAAAATAGAACAAGGAGCATTTATTATTCAATGTATGTTACTAATTCACACATTAAAAACGAATGTCCGAAGATTATCGCTATTAATACTGCAGCTCACACTCAGCAGCCATTTTGCCAAGTAAAAAATGCAGAAAACATTGGATCGGTATTTAGACACTGTTATCATTTCGTATGTGACATCGACACACCAGAAGCTGCGGTTACCCGAAAAAACTCTGGCAATATTTCATATATTCAGAGCACATCGATGTGAAGATTTTTTTGAATAAAAAAACTACACGATAACAACATCGCCACTGTGTTTGTTCCAGCCTGTTGTACCGATCGGCTGCAACCCCTTGAATCTTGCCGTCAACAAACGTTTCAAGGACTCGCTGAAATTTAGCTTTCATTCGTGGTACACTGACCGTATTTTGAAGGAACTGTTGATATTTCCGATGTCAGTATTACGGTTGTACTTGGAGAGCCCGCGACGCCTGGATAATGGCAAAAGATGTACCTAGATGTACACATGGACACATAAACATGTCATAACAATGACATTCTTTCTAGAGGCATAGCACAAGTAACATTACTCTTATTCCCGTAAAATACCGCATAACAATCGAGAAAAAAAGACACCCCATCCTTGGTTACGAGGAATGTAAATGGTAGCGTCGGAAATGGTCATGGAAATCAAAATACGTTTACAGACAAGAGGATCAACTCGACTAGAAACAAAGGGAATTTATTAGGATTAAACATGTTGTAACTCCTTCTGTTTATACCTCCATGATAATATATATGTTATTTATATTTATTTCAACAAGAAAATGCGATCAGCAATGTGCAAACAATATAATGTTGTTTCAATTGAAGTATGGTGCTTTTCAAGCGTTCATTTATATTTCAGTTTTGTAGAGTTGAAATGGACTTGAACATCCACACGAAGTAGAAATCAACTTGAAAATAATGTCATATTTAAGTGAATGACTAGTGTAGGCTGTATATTGTGCTTAATGTGAATCACAATGTGATCAGATATATCGTTGCCATATATAAATGTGTCTGTAATAATATAATATCACGATACAACACATTTTATTCACAAATAACATCTTACTTGTTTTACTTACTTATTAATATTGGAAAAGCGCTTTAAAATCTGTGGCGAAATTATTGTCAAATACACGAACTTACAAATTTACATGACCTTTTATGAAACCGATTAAAGGTAATTGATTTCATATGTTTAAAGTTTATATCTTCCTGCATGATACGAAATAGACTATACAGTCAGTCTAAAAATTAAATTACATCAGTCAACTTCGTATACTTACTTGAGTGATGCCTAATTTTATATGTCAAAGTAATTTCATTTATAACATGATCTTGATCCTAAATATATATTTTAATCGTACAACATGACAGTGAACTGACCAATAACGCAATATCTATCAAAATGACTTGCATACTTAAAGTGTTGTTTTTTTTCATAGGGGTCAATGATAAAGTAAAGTGAATACATTAATGAAATTATTTATTCATATAATATTAAAAAAGACAACACTCTTACATGTCAAAAAATAGAAAATTAACAGTGATAAATTGGAGTAATGAAAGAAAATAAAAGGGGAAAAGTGAAAAAAAAGGTTCAATCCTTTTGTTTTATAAAATGTTGGATGACATTAATTTACACGACTACACGGTAAGTGAACTTATAAAATTAATTACAAATCTCCTTCAATAACTTGCAGTACTTTGCCACATTTTGTTTCGAACTTATTTTCAGTTAAAACATATTTTTTCAATGTTAATTTGGTTTCTGATTATTAATTTAAAAAGGGGTTCTTTTTCAGTACTTCAAAGATAATATTTGAACATGTGATTACATTTGTGTAATGAATTCCAAAATCTGTATACGAGAACAAATGTTCCAATTTTTTTCTCATTTTGACAATATTTACACAAACTATCTGTTTATTTTTGTGTAAGAATAAATTTGTACCATGCAACATTTTAAACTGAAAAATCCAAACCAACCTGTGAAAACCCATTGTTTACAA